TGTGCAATCAGCACCAAATGATCATCATACTTCTGCAAATACGTCATCAACGACTACTTCGAATCCTCCACAAGATCAAGATACAGCAACGTAAACTACAAGGTAACAAATATCAAAATCAAATAAAACCTCATTTTTTTTTCGTTTCAAAATCTTATATCATTATTATTCTTCATAATATTAATTACATTCAATCATAATTTCTTTATATCATTCACTACCATTATAAACACTTACTTTCAATTACTATATACATAACATTTCAATCCTTCATTACATTTTTCTTTTGCTGTAATCATTCTCAAATTTCACAACGACAATAAATAAAATTAAACCATTGCTAAAAATTACATATTTGTAAATCTCATTTCTCTTTAATAATAATTAATACTAACTAATACTTGAATGAAATATATATATATATATATATATATATATATATATATATTTTTCCATTTAATAATATCATAAATTATATCATTATTCTCCTAATTTAAATATATTTGAAAATGACGTCGATATAAAATGTTTTTTTTAACTTTTTATGCTTGCAACTCATATAAAAAAACACTAAACCGAACTTCCAACTTATGATAAAATAATAAACCCTTATACTCCCAAAAATTCATTTTATATAATCATTCTTCTTCATAATGATACTTACATGTAATTTCTGTTTCTCCATGTTGTTAATTTTTCTTGCAGTTGCTTGTTTATATTCAACACTTATATATTATGACAATCGCGCACCAATCTTTCAATAATCTTCGCACATACTTAAAACAAATTAATCTTCATTATACAATAGAAATCAATGAAGAAGGCATTGTATTATCTTATCTTGCTTATCACTCTACAACTTCTATTTCTTTATATATGTTTCTAGCAGATATCATACCATTGCCAACAAATCCTCAAAATCGTCGTATCGCAATTATCAACGACATCATTTGTACTCTTGATGCTCCTCATTCCGGAACTAAAATTCTATTAACTAATACTACTCATCACAGATTCATTTCTACATCCTTTATAACTTTCAATGCATCATTCGCTTTTACATATATTCTGAATTAAATCATAACACTATAATACACATCGTCATTTCCTCCTTTTTCTATAAACTTATTATATACAATTTCATAATTTTTTCCTTATATTATAACTATACAATAACTCAACTTTTTGTGTTATATTTCATGGTAGGTCAAATACAACTTCAAAAAGACCATCAAGACCAAAAAACTACATGGAGTCCAGAACACAACATGGAAGATGCGTACATCACACGAGAATGATCGACCTCGAGCGATACCTTCAATTTCTTCCTATGTATCAACCATTACCAATTGTGGAAACTGGACTTCTAGTATATCATGACAGATGGCATAGAGGACGACAAAACATGGCTACGTTGTATTTAGCTGATACAGATCAACAAGAGGCTATCAAGGACATCCATACAACACTTAGTTCAAAATATATAGACACATAAAAATATATAATTCCATTGCTACGATTAGCTGCAGTCTATGATTACAATGACAACTATGACATTCCACTAATAGGAACAATTATGACATTCCATTACACTTCTAATCACCACAAATTATTAGAACCTCCCGGATGCACATTCGATGCTGATTTCCAACACATGATACCACAACCTCTTCCAATCCATACATTACCACTTCGATCAAATACGCCTCCTATTTCTATTCATCAAAACAAATAAAAAATCAATTACCCATATAAATTCTTTAATCAATAATATAGAACTCCTAACATTGTTTTCAAAAATATCTCCAAAATTATAAAACTTTCCCCTTTTTTGTTTCAAAAATACATTACTTACTCCTAACAAAATCTCTTCCTGTACATTATTTATATATCAATTAACAAAACAAAATACTTTCTTCTAAAAATACTAAACACAGCCCACCCTTACAAAAATTGTAAATCATAATTTGTATAATATTTCAACGGTTTTCAAAAAAAAATTGCTTGCAACTGTATTCATTTTCTTACATTTTAAATACACTTCAAAAAAACATTAGTCATAATATGCCCTTGATGTTCATTTTTTTTTTCTTTCCTCTTTTTTTCTTTTTTTTTCTTTTTCATGTTTAGATCGAACAAAAACAAATTTGCATTTCTTCAAGTTCATTGAGAGTCTCAATTAAATACTTCTAATGATACTTTGCCCATTACATTTCGACTTCCATTAATTTTTTGATATTCCATTCCTTTTCCTTAAACTTCAAATACAACTCCATTTCATTGGCAACATTGAGCTCTTAATGGACGACTCTATTTTACTAGCAACATTGAACTATTTGAACATCTGAATGTAAATACTTTTCGAAAAATATGCAAAAATGATCTTGAATTTCCTATACAACCTCAAATAAATTGTATTGAATCTAGTCGGCTTCGAGCAAATTCTTTTTTTTTTTGCACATTTCAAAAGCCTCTACAACGAGGCCCTGAGTTTAAATTTGCATCAAGGTACTACTGTTTAGAGTTACCAATCACAACTTCGCATAATCGTCCATACAGCCCCCCGAACTACAATCTCATATGCCCTGGCTGCGCCCCCGCGCCTCGCGCGGTTCCAGTTAGATTAGATCAGTTGTTCAGAGTAGAGAAGGCGAGAGTGTGTGGACGTACGTGGACGGGGTGGGCGGTCAGGGGGAGTCGTGCGAAGTGAGGAGGGGAGGCTGTGAACCAAACTTGAGTGAGGGGGGTAGGGCGGGGATTGAGACAGGTTGAGTCCGATTACAGCGGACTGAGGTTGGTGACTAGATTCAAAGCTTCTATACCTACGGTAGCCGCCACCTGGCCTCACCGTGTGCGGGCAAATCAGCGCTTGTAATGAAGTGGGAAGACGGGAGGATCTTCGGCCGTCTTGTAACCTGAGCTGCGTAGGGGGCTGGGTGTTGTGGGATCGGGTCAATAGCGAAAATGAAAGAGAGAGAAAACGAAAAAAAAAAAGGAAGAAAAAAAAAAAAAAAAATAAAAAATTGAAAGATATCGAATGTTTAGCATAGAAAACAACAGAAGGGTTAAGAAAGGAATGGAGGGACAGTGGGAAGACATTTGGTGGGGCCTACTATGGTAGGAGACAGATGCAAACTCGGCGAAATTAGGTTACAAAAAAGAGGTGAGTCATGGAAGGGCAACCGGGCTCTGTCTCTTTGAGGGGAAATGATTACGTCTCACAAAGATTTCAGAGGAAGTCGAAATTCCGAGTACTAAGAAGAGAAAAAAAAAATTCCGAGTACGAAAGAGCTGTCTTGTCTTCACGGGGGTAGTAATGAAGCACCGGCCGTAGGATCTACAACAGTAGCAAAAAATTGGGGGAGTTGGTTGTGGACGCCTGTGTAGCGGAATGCTCGACTAAGAGCGCGACGCTGATATGTCTGGATGAATCTGGTCATGGCACGAGGGCAAGGGGGAGGTGGTCTCCAAAGGGAGAGGTTTCACCGTGGGAAAGGAACACTCACGGTGAATCATAACCTCTCGGTCCTCTCCTCCTTCATCTCCTTCTCCGCTCATGGTAGAAGGCAGGATAGCTACCTTCTTCCCCCGAATACTGCGTACGGTCATTATAGCTGTATCTAGACTGAAAGATACATCAAATACAGCTATAATGACTGTACGTACGGTCATTATAGCTGTATCTAGACTGAAAGATACATCAACTACAGCTTATAATGACCGTACGTTGTATTCGGGGGAAGAAGGTAGCTATGGTGAAGACGTCACAAATACGTTCTAGCCACGCGAACAGCGCAGGCGACTACCGTCTTCACCCAAATAGAACGCCCGGTCATTATCACTGCATCTAGACTTAAATTTCGACCAAATACGGCTATAATGACCGGGCGTTCTATTCGAGTGAAGATGGTAGCGCCGCTGAGGTCGTGTGCCGGTCCGTCCCCCAGTTTTTCTTTTTTCGGGTTGCTTGTCTTGCCTTTGTTTTACATTATTACTATTTCATTAGTCATGATTATTTTTACTGTTGAACTTTTTTTTTTTTTTTTTAATGAACAATCAATGAGGCTTTTTTATTTTATTTCTAAAACCAAACAAGGGAGAGCTTTTCTTTTCTTTTTTCTCTTTTCTTTTTCTTTTTTTTTGCTCAACCACGCACTCAACAGTGTGCAACAGGCAGCGTGCACATGCACGTGACGGCCACCAGGAGAGGGAAGAACTGTATGCTAGAGAAACGTGCAACCATATCTTCTAAAAAAGAGTGAAGAAAATATAGTGAAAAGCCACATGCACACATGGGACAACGAATGGAAACGCATGCATGTGAGTGCAAGCTTAGCGCGCACGCACACACGCACACACGCACACACACACACACACAC